ACCCGAAAATAACAAGTTGCAGCCGCGTAACTCGTCAAAGTCGGTGCCACCGTTGGACGCTGAATACACTTCTTACGCGAGATCCGGTCCGGCGTTTATTCGTCCGGCTTTGTGACGTCGTTGGTTCGCTCGTTACTTTTCGGAGGGTGATGTCCTTGACGGTTTTGCTCGAGGTGGAAATTTCCTCCGTGTTGACGTCACACTCTCAGGAATTATCTCGCGGATTTATCCGTCGCGCGGTGGCGAGCGTTTCGCGAGACGAGGAAAAGGTAGCCATGAATTTTAAAACGGTATTAATCTACTTCTCGAGTTACCGCCATTACCGTTTTCGAACTTTCCTCGGAGTTCTTTTTCGGGCTCTCTCCCGGAATCGGATCGATACACTCTCGAAATCAGGACCAACGTGGATGTATATTTAAACGGCCGAGGATTTTCCCCTGAAATATCGATTTCTAGCGTTTCCGTTCTTACTGGAGTTCGTAACATCCGCTTCCTCGGCGAATGAGTTCATTCGCTGATTCATGGGAAAAGAAAAGAAAAGAAAAGGGAAAGGGGGAGGATAAAAAAAAAGATATGAAAGGGAGAAGGAAAGAAAAGAGCATCCGCTGATGCAACTCACGGCAAAGTTTAGGTTTCCCTGGGAAACTTGGCGTCACGGCCCACCTTTCAATCTTGCCGAGCGATGTTGAAACTGTGAGCCAAAGCTCAATGGTACTCGATAGTTTGGATGATATATCAGGGAAAACTGATAATTCCCAGCTTCTCTACGCGATTAATTATCATCCGTTAAAGCGACCTCTTATCGTGGCAAGAGAGCAGAACAGGGCAGAGTTCCTCGATGGGAACGAAGCTTGGATTGGCAGAGATAGAGAGAGGGAGAGATAGAGAGAGAGAGAGTTCCATCGGTTTCGCCAATAATTCAAGCAGAATTTGCCCAGGGATATGTACGTATTTCTGGCCAGCTCTCTGATATATCGGTGCACAGTGATATATTCGCAGATACAAAAATGTCTTACACTTCGATTATCGATTCAGCTTTCCCCAGCGACGATCCGCTTTCGCGTGTTGGTGTTGCTCAGTCATACGCGTTTCACCCCCTTTTCTATCTCGTGGAATATTTAGTTAAGCCGAAAACTTTGGAATAAGTTTGTGCTCGTTCAATTTCATTTGTCCTATTCAGCTTTCACCGATCAATTTAATATCCACCCCCACCCGTTCTTCGAAATGACGAATTATTTCAAGTGATCTGACGTCCTGACCCTCTTCAAGCGTAAGTCACTTGTTATTGGAAACAACCTGCGCCACGTAATTATTACCATTTTCTCATATATCGAAGTCTCTCAGCCGCGATGCATTGAACTTCGACGTGAAAGACGTGTTTGCGCGGTTTGCAAATCACTTGTAATTTCGAGATCATCCGCGTTGATACGCCTTTCATTCCTCTGAAACGCACTACGAAACGTTTGGTTTCGCGGAAAAGCTCGCGCGAGTTTAAGCGAAAACTCGGTTTCATAACTGCGGTTTTGGAAAAACGCAGTGTATTTTCCAACAATTCGTCGAACCATGCACAGCATGTTCCCGCGATTCGATTTAATATCCTTGAAATAATAAAGAAATTACTTCGAGCGTTCTATATATAATTTCGACGTTCAGCGACGCGTTAAACGGTAAATTCTCTCTCCGCGAGGAATTCTTCTTCTCCGAGGTTTTTTTTTTCGGTTAATTAATAACGCGTTTAGGCAATCGACGACACTTGACTCGCGAAAAGCGACCCAGCTATTAACCCAGATCGCGGAATTCGGCCTAGCGTTTTGAATAACCATCGATGCACGCGCGTTTCACAGACTCGACGAGCCACGCGCGAAACAAATCGCTCGGAGAACTTTCATTTCTCGAGGCCGCCGCTTTCGTTTCTCTGCCACATTTTTCTCTTAGCTTCGTCTTCAGCGAGGGTTGAAAATCATTCGTCTCATTTGTCGTTCGGTTTTTGTTTTACTTCTTTTGCTGAAACATTGGACAGATAATTCGATTCGTATCTGTAGTTCTGACATAGTTTTCTCTGTTGTTGATATTGTAATTTTGTTGCGTGTTTCTGGACCGTATATTTCCTTTGTCAGGGAATATTTCGAGAGAGAAATTACGAGGGAACTGTTGTTGACGTGCGTGAATTTTCATTTCAGTTTTTCCTTCTTGTTTGATGAAAATTGAAAAAAAATTGTGGCACACGAAGGTATTAATTTTCGATGGAAGAATTACTAGAAATTTCGTGTTGCGATTAAAAATTTGAAACAAAATTGTTTCTGTCGATTAGCCGATCGGTCGTTAATGAATTTCGATAAAATTTATTCGTCATATTTTATTCTTTTTGTTTAGTAACTCAATATTTTTTTAATTACAAATTGTAATTATCGTATATTTATGAGAAAGAGAGAGAGAGAGAGAGAGATTATTTACTCCAATTAAAAGTCATTTGCTATTTTTTTAACAATACACTGATGAAATCAATAATGAAGCAATAAATATTGCGATGTTATTAATATGTGATATTTAACTTTCAATTTATACGATGTTAAAACAAAATGTTAAAATATATATATGAATTAATTATCAGGAGAACAGATTTAAATTTTCGAAAGCATGGGCTGAAAATATATTTCGGGGTAAACGATTCATAGATGTAATATACTTGAGATGTAATATACTTGTGAAGTGAGAGGCAGTAAAATATATCTTGCACTGTCGTATTTTATTCCTTCTTGCAGCACTCTTTTGTTATCTTAATTGCGGTTATCTTGGCTGACATTACATTTGTCATTTTCTGAAATATCGAGCAAGCAAACTTTCCTGAAAATAATTGCCCACGTTTCCCTTGGCAGAAGTAAACTATGTGCAGCGAATGGTATTTTACTCGGCAGTCACTTTTGAATTCGTCGCTCGTTTTAAAGCTTAATTGCACTCTGTTGAACTTCCCTGTTTTTCACTAGCGGCTCTGTTCCTTGCTAAAAATTTCACGAGTTTCGCCCTCGCTTGCGAGGAGAGCGAATCGAACATACTCTAAGGGGTCGTGCGATTAGAAACGTTCGATATAGTTTTCAAGAAACTACGGAAATCCTTTTTACAGTCAACCGTGCAATTAAACGTGCATTTTCTGCCGGACCAAATTGCAGAGATGATGCAAAATAAATGAACGAACATTTCGTAATTGAGGACCGCCTGCGCAACGTTCTGACGGTGGCAACTGAAAAATCGCGTGTGTTTGGTTAATTATTGAACGCGCGCGAGTGAACGAGTCACGCAATAATTACACAGGGGTTTAATGATTCTTTTTTTTCTTTTTCCTCGAGTATAATCGACCTGTTGAGGGGAAAGCTCGCTCCACACGGGAGAAGTTACTTGCACACTGAAGGGAAGGTAACTTTCCCTCTGATTACTTTTGTTTACAGTATCTACAGTGTATATCATAACTCAAAATGCTGCTAAAACGATAACGTTAATTTCATTATTCATGTAAATTCAAGTTTTTGAGTTTCAAGAGTACAGTTCGAAGAAAATCAGTAGTTCGATGTTTCCATTTTGTGTAATTCCATTTAAAAGAATATCCAAATATTCGATCGGTTTTTAACGAGGTCTGTTTTGACAACGAAATTAGAAATAAACCGGCAAATTGCTGAAAGTTACGGTATAATTTTATTCTTTAGACTCGCGTTGTAGTTACGTTTAGTATGATAAAACATTACGACGGGATTAAGCTAATATCCACAACGGATGAGGCTGCGAATTTTCATTGAAATTAATGTTTATTTCACTCGCGTAATATTGAATTGTTAAATATAATAACGAGCATTATATTTGCGGATTATACATGCTCCTTTAGATTTCCCGCAAATGCATCAAAATTCACAGGCCGTTCATTATTATTCAAACCTGTGAAATTCGTTTGACCTGATTCGGTTTTGTCTACTATTTTCACTCTTTTGTATCGAGGAACATTTTCGGAGAGGTGAATATGCAGAAGGTAATATCCGTAGAATTATTATCCCAGTTTCATTTATAGAAAGGAAAGTTTAGTTGGTGCCCAATTAAACTTTTTACTTGTTGACTCCATTTACCTAAACGCAAACTCCTATCAGATAAACAAAATATTACAGCGGGGAATATTATGCGCGCAACTTGCATAAATTTTCCCGATTTTATCTCTATATTATCCATGATTGCGTGCGTCGTTATTTAACTTTTCTTTGAAATAAATGCAGAGAAGTACAATTGTAAATTCTCCCTACCCTGTGTCTTTGCGTGCCTCAAACTATTTTTGATCCATCGTCCAAACGCGGAGAGATGAAGATTTAATTATTTTCAAACGTTCGGAGAAAAATCGTAGTTAGAAAACGTGTTTCACGCACCGAATCGCTACGGGGGGAATTGCATTTTGTGAAATTCTTCCGCGCTTCAGAATTCCCGACAAGTGCGTACAAATCCGCGGTCTGATTATTACCCAACGTCGTGAGAGCCATGACGTATGTACGTTTTGTTCGCGCGTGTATTCCAATATATTTCCCGGAAAAGAACGAACTTTTAAAATCCTTGTACACGTATACACGCTGATAGGATCGATCTAACAACGTACTCGATTTCGCGTTAGCTCGAACAGGTGCGTGGCGGTATTGCGTGGGAGTTCGAACGTTCGCGGCGATTGCCAAGTCGTCGTGGGGTCAAGCTGTTAAATGAATGGGCTGCTGTTTGTTAATCAGCGGGATTTGCGTTTGCTATTTGGCGAGCTACTCGGCGAGTATACGCATTCTGGGTAACGTCGTCACGCCCTTTATCACGATTTTAATTACAAAAAAGGAATCCACCTTTCGCCCGGATTAATACACATTTCCTCTCACCGCGTTTCTCTGTGTTTTCCCTCGGCGTAAATCTTTCTCTGTTTATTTAAAAACAGAGTTTTCCCACGGTACATGGACGCGCACGTTTCAACTTTGATAGAAAAATGTACTCACGCGTTCTTATCGAGCGAAGCGTGTCGCTGACAATGCTGCCGTGTTGTGTGGTTGCAGACGCAAGAATGGCTGAGAGAGTCAGGTGAAACGAACTGATACCATCGACGTTCCCGTCTCGAGCGAGCTGCACGATGTTTATGGCACGAAGGGCGGCATGCCACTGGCCAAATCATCCCAGTCTCACCCCCAACTCACCCCATTATCAGGTCGACGGCAGCGCAGCTACGTGGTGGTTGCAACGACTATAATAGGCGCTCCGCAGTAAGTCGAATTTCAAATCTTCTTTTTTTTTCCTCCGCGTTTCTCTCGTCCAACTACTCATCCTTCTTTTCTCTTTTGTTATTCTCAAAATATTTCGTACCGTTCGGCGAAACGTGCGCGACGACTTCTTTTTTTCTTTTTTTTTTTTTTAAATTCGTCGCCTTTGGCGAATCTGATATTTTCAAAGTTCTCGAGTTTATATCGGCGAAGTTTAGAGTCCATTTGCAAAGTTCTGAAAGTGAAATGTCAATATTGTTATAGCCAACTGGTATCTAGTTTTCTTTCACGGGAAGGGAACAAGAGCGGACGTATAAAGCGCGAGAGTTTTGATTTATAATTCATTCGGTTGTTCTGAATATAGAAAGGCTACTTTCAAGCGTTTCATGCCTTTCCGTTACTAGTACTTCGCCTCGGATGGAAGTTGGACGTGACGCCTACACGATCGTTTAGAAGTAAGCAATTATTTATGCATCGATCGGAACTCTCTTTCTTTAGAATCCCCGGTAAACTCTAAATGAAAACTTCTCATTCGAGTGGAGGCGCCGTTTCGGCGAATTCTCTAATTCCCCCGAAACAATCCGTCGCGCGGATTGATTCGATTTCCGTCGAAACGTAATTAATAGACTGTGCGTTTCTGGGAAATATTTTTGTGTGTTTCTAGAAAATTGCACATGACGCGAAAAAATATTATATAAAATATATAAATGTGTAAATTATCCGATAAACTTCAACGATATTTGGTAAGTGAAACAATTTTATTTTTTTAATTACATTCCCATGAATACACTGTCCAATGTGCAATACTCTCTATAACATTTAGTATGTGAATGATTCTGTTTCTGTACATTCTTGTAAATTAACAAGTTTCCTCTTCACAACGAACCATATAAACTTGCTCTACGATTTTTCTTCTCTGTTTTACAAAACTTTGAGTCATTTAAGTAAAATTTCAAGAAATCCTATCGTCATTTCAATCCCAATATTTGAAACTGAAATTATATTTAAAATTCAATAAAGTGATGAAGAAGAATCATACAGAAAATTTTAAGAGATGGCTGTAAAGAGGAAATTACAACCTTCGAAAATAGTGGTCAATTTAGTCGTAAAAAGAATTTTTCAGTGTTTTTACAGACGTTTGAATTTTTACAATTTTTTTGAAGAAAAATATCCTCGCTTTTCCTTTCACGACATTGTGTTAAAACTGTGTGTGTCTGTGAGATAAAACGAACACCGAACTGTTAAAGTAGAAGCTTCAGGCTTTAAAATGAACCCAATAGATTATTATGCGATTCGTTTTCACGACGTTGTGACCGTTTAAAGTATCAATAAATTTTCATCGAGTGTCCAATTAGTTTTGCAAACGTGGCGTACGTTTCCAGAAATTATAAACGACAAACTATTCCGAGTACAAAGTTTTCGATATACGTAGCACGTGAAACAATTTTCTGTCAAGATTGGAGTGAAAATTCGCCGTTTAAATTAAACTTAGCCATTTTTTCCCCATCTGTTTAATATTAATAATCGGCTCGCGCGAGCATTCGTATATCAATATTCGTACAATTAATTCGCGGTAATATCGTGTCAATCGATAAAGCAAACGGCTTTTAATAACCGGGTACACGGTTCCGCATGGTGGCCAGGATTAATTCGCAATTTTAATTAAATTCTCCATGAAGAATCGTTGTACTTGCCGTAACAGGCCGATTGATTCTCCCGGTTTTCATCCACGGATATTGTTCTCCCTTATTACTGCCCGTTTCCCCCATTGTCTCGCGCGTATTTGTCCGGTTGATCGAAAGGAGAACGAGCATAATGTGTGCCTGCATTATCACTGTTACGTTCGTTCGGTGAATCGATGCCTCGAACGAGAAACGAACGAACGTTGTTTCTTGCCTTCCTCGGGTTCGGTGAAATTGAAATGTGATTTTCGCAAGCACCAGCGAATACACACCGAGCTCCTTTGATCTCGAACGCGAAACGACTGTCTTTGCCATAGCAGAGAATTATAACGACGTGCGCGAATCGCATCTCATGCGGTGAAAAAAACGGAAATTTTCTATAAAAATTTCATCTTCGGGAATTACCTTTTAAAAAAAAAAAAAAAAAAAAACGAAACAGCTGGGCAAGGTGACAGCTTGCGTTGCATTTCGCGCAGAACGTGTCTTGATTGCACATCGTCTTGAAATATTCTCACTGTCTCGTGCAACTTGTATTTTTGTATTTTTGTATTTTTACGTAAACGACGAGCTCCTCGGAGGATTGCGCTCCGGACGATTTTCGAGATTGCTGTGCTATTATTATCGATCGAGTATGATGGAATTTTCACTCGTGTCTGGCAAATTCTGGGTTGATTGTAAATTTTAAAGTATCTGCATTATTCTCTTGTATTTGTTTTCTTTTTTTTTTTCTGACTCGCAAACGAAAGCATTTCATGAATAATTGACGAATGGGACGAGCGAGATTAAAAGCACCGTGGACTTCGTTTTTGAATATTCCGATTGAAATTTGCAACAAACGGAACTTCGAGATTCTCAGCTCGCTCTTGCAATCACCTTCCAAGATTTTATTGGCTACGCGAATTCTTCGAGTCCATCAACGTTTCTTTTCGTAGAAAAAAATTCTACGTTCGATAGTCGTTCGGGGAAGAACGAATTTAAGGGAAACCTAATTGCATTACTCGGGACGAGAAAGAATATCCAAACTCGGTCACGTTCTATTTAAAGTGTGTTCCATGATGTCTTAAATGCTGCTTCTTACGCTTCATCGAGCTACCACGAAAACGATGTAATAATATCTTTCCAGAGAGGAACCATTGAGGAGCTAGGAATACTCCTGAACGCGTAAATCTCTGTTCAGCCTTCCAATATATTAGGGTTATCCAACAAGCGTAGAAGTAAATTTCAGGCTTGGAATCTTTTCGTAAATTTGTTTCAAATTTTTCGCCTCAGATGTTAAAAATATAAAAATGTACACAGGAATGTACATAGTAATGTAGGAATTTAGAAATATAGGAATTTCAGAATATAAGATGCAGAACCACAGAAATGTGGCAGTATAGAAACGTAGGAGTCTCGAAAATCCAGAAATACAAAACTGTAAACAACAAAGTAGAAAATTTGCTCAAAGAAATATTAGTACCCTAGAGTGACGAAAATGACAGCCGTGTTATTTGCAATTTATCTATTTATTTGTACGCACCAATTGAAATCAAAATCCTAATCGCAACATCTAATAGTAAAGCTTAATTCCCTGATACGCAGTGAAATCCTGTCGGGACGCAGTGAAATCCTGTCGCGACGGGCAAGTTTCGTAGTTGGAGGGTTGTGAATGTTAATTCATTGTAAAACACCGAGTCTCCCGGCGCCTGAAGTGAACCTTCTCAAATTTCGCGATTGCGAGTGGAGTTTCAAGTCGCTGCAAAGACAACCGCGGTAGTTTGTCGGGTGTAGAGAACGAGAGAAACTTGAGCACTAAAATGCTCCGGCTGTGTCACAATAGCGTCACGTTTGCGCAGGAAATTTGACTGTTCTACTCGACGAAAACATTAATCTACCACACGGAGAACCTGAACTTAAACAGACTCTCTGTCGTTCTACTTTTATTCGCTTTTTAAAACTTTTTTCTTTTTTTTTATTTTATTCCACTGTCTCATTGTGCAGTCATTCCTTTGAGCGAATTTGCTGGAAAATGCAACCTTGTTTTGCAATTATTTTTGCGCCGTAATCGTCCGTTAATGGTCTGTGCGTCATCAATAATATTCGTCCGTTGCATTAGAGATTATTTTTAACACGAACGATGACACAGAATAATATATGGAAATACATGGAAATACGTTTTAACCATCGAGCTTGATCGCTTTCGTTCGCGCAACGTAAAATGATTTTTCTTCGAGAATTTATATTCCTAGAATCTTGAGCCAATTCTTTTCATAGATGTCGTTTGTGTCTTGGGCGAGTAAGCCCAGCTTCTTCTTGAACGACGTAGATGATTGATCCTCGTCCTGCGACAAACATTCACGTACGTTCCTTGCGGGAAATATCGAAGGAAATATCGGGGAATACGAGTACGCGAGTTACGGTTCTCTTACGATTTATCAAACAGGGAGGAACAGATTAATTCTACTCACGATGTTTCGAATTTTATTGTAGTCCTGGTTGTAAATTCGTGGCCCGTTCTTTCGATACCCTGGCATTCTCCTGGTTCCGTGTAAGATCAACGTGAACGCCTTTATCGTGCCATTATTCTCTTCCGGTCCAATCTGTCGCGATGAAACGAGTACAGATTAAACCGAATTGGCGCTTGTTGCCAATTGTAGCTTCGTTAATGAGGTTAATGGGAAATAGTTTCTTAATATATAAATCTCTCACCTCGTCGAGGATGTCTAGAAACCAGCTGCCGCGTGGATCCTCGCCCCATGACGCCACGGACATAAATTTCCACTTCTCGAATCCGGCAGCCGAATCGTCCAACTTCCTTGGCTTTAGTATCTGTACCTTTGTCCCTTGGGAAGAATACAGGAAGAAAAGAAAGAAATTAATTTTATTGGATCGTGTAACGAGCAGGTTCAGGGAATTCTTAAGCAAACTGATAGTTTCGAGAACGTAATTAAAGGGAAAGACTCTTGGTAGGAGATTATAGGAACTGTACTTTGAATATTATTTTATTTTTGTCACTTTTTTCAAATTTCTTATCCATAGTCTGGTCTGTATCATTATTATTCAAAAATGACTGCGAAAAGCATCAATTTAACGCGCCCCTTAGTTAAGAAACGGAGCTAACTACGTCTAATATAACATACTCGCGCGCTTTTAATTTGATCATAAACTAACTCTCGTCGGAACGCTTCCTGTAGGATTTTCCTATAGCATTTCCACGAGCTTGAGCTATCTGTTAAAAGACTTGAACTACGAGGATGACGCTCTCGTGTGCGCTTGAAGAATGTGGGTTAAAATGTTTGTTTCGGTCTGTCGCGTATTTATCGCGGAGCGAGATGGATCTCATAGCGTTGGATTGCACGGGACGGGGATCGGAAGAATGCTCGCGAGGATCGCCTAGAAATAAGATTTTTACTATGTACACAGATGCGATCGAGGTACACGTCGCCGCTCGAGATCGATTTCGCGAACCACCGTTTCCAAGCGGTGGAACAGTCAAGAGCGTAGATTTATGGCCCACCTTATGTAACACCTACCAGTTTCTATGGAGAGCAATTTAGCAAAAAATCTTTTATTTCCAACCCCTCACCGTTCCCTCGAACTTTCTTACGTCGTGGTGAGTGTTGCGAGAGATGTATCAATACGTCTCGCATTAGAGAAACGCCTCTTTGACATCGTACAATTAAAAATCGAATGTACGAGTGGAGATTTGTGTCCTTTGTGTTTAATACAAAATACTTGTATTTCCCAGTATTTGTCGCAGGCAATAAATTTTTACAGACTCTTTGTTATGCGAGACATAATCTTTTAATCTTGAAACAAATGTAGCACTTGTTCCAAGATTTTTTCTAGAGGGTCTATCAATATCGTGAATAATTCTGATTATATTAAGTAGATTATAAAATTATAAAATTTCGTTTTGAAATGAAATTTTCTGTCACTGCTACGTCTTTAGTTTCTTTTTTGTATTTAATAATTACCTGCTTTTTTTCTTGGAACGTAATGCTTAACTCGTTAACAAGGCAAGACAAATTGGCCTGCCGCTGGGATTATCTCTTAGACGTAATAATTTATTGAAACTCGTATCTTTTCTTACGTTGTCTCATTTCCCCTTAAGAAGAAATTATTGTCCGCGTGGTTGCGTGAAATTAACCAATTTCAAAGTAGGTTTATGAACTTTATTAACTCTGAGTTACGTAATTGTAAAAATTTCCCAGTTAACGCAACAAAGATATATTCTCGTAAATCGGTCTTTGGATAAAGTAAGAAAATAATTTCTTAGTTTGTCATCTGATGCTGACGAGAGAAAAGATCGTGTGATGCTGATATCCCAAATATAAAGTATAAATAAAGGGATTATTTCGCAAGTTTAACACTTTACAAATACGTAACTTTCTCGGTAGTGTGCTCAAAGTATTACAAATCTAATTACCGCTTCTTGTTCCTCTATATTTGTCAGATAAGAAATTTTCTGATATTTCTTTTCTCTGCTTCTTAAAAACAAAAAAAAAGAAATTGTCGTAGTTGAAAAGACTCGCTAAATGTGACGCAAAAACGGGATATTGCGGATGATTTCACGGTAGCGGAATTGAATCGAGCTAATTCTAATGAATTGGACAGAGATTGGCCCGACCATTGTGCCGCCACGTTTAATTCCGCGCACGTTCGCGCATTTCTATTATATTAATAGTCCCATGTCCGCGCGTAGATCCGGGGAATATTCGCTAAAACAACGAAGTTCGACGCAATGTAATTTCGGCCGAAAACAGAGAGCTACGTGATTTCCTACGGTGTATGGCTTTTCCGTTGCTTGTTTTTGCGAGGAACGAAATTTATTCGCATTAATTGACCCGCCTCTCGATTTTCTCTGTGTTTCGTACGCTTGGAAATTTTCGAAGCAAAAAAAAAAAAAAAAAAAGAAAAAGAAGAAAGAAACTACTTTTTATATATGACGTTATATACATACTTTTGCATATATAGTAATAATATGAAAACTAGACATTTTTAACATTTACGTAGAGTATTTATCGTCACCAGTAGAAAGAGTTAACGATAGAAAAATATTCCTCGATTGTAATTTTAGAAATATAAGAACATTGCCCCTCTGATCAATACCGAGTGTCTATTGAAGTATTTTCTTGAACAAATCTTTTCGTATTCGTCCCTCTGTGAGCTCGAGGGTAGAATAGACTCAACGTAATCCCTGCGTGTCGTAAAAGGCGACTAATAGGGAAATTTAGTTTGAGAATTTCTACATTTTTCTGATTTTTTCCAATCTCACGTTTACTCAGAATTCTTACGATACGTCTTACTTTTAATAATCGACAACTATTCATCGTGGTTAGTAAAATCACGAATTTTATAGATTCTTGACTCTTGCAATTGTCGAAGCAAATATTTATAATAAAGGAAAGGAAAATCCTTTCGTCCTCCAGTCTCGAGCGAGATCTTCGAGAGTGGTTGAGTTTACGTGAATAAAAAAAAGCTGCGTACCTGAGGGTGCAGTCAGATGCATCTGAAGTGCGCCGCGGAGGCTGTACTTGATGGTGACCTCGATCTCCACGTGTTCCAAAAACGTAATCTCGTTGCCCGCTGATCGACACTCGTCCTCCGTCTCGAATCGCAACCGTCTGTTGTTTCCATAAGCCAGCTTCTTGTCGATTCTAAGCCGGAACGGAACATTTTCTCATATATACACACGTGTATGTAAATTGCGGGCCGTTTCCGCTCGCAGCTGTGTCTTGTCAATAGAGCTGGTTGAAACTTCCTGGGATATTGATTGTCAAGACCGTGGCACGTCTCGTTTCGTTGGTCAGTCGTAACGTTTTAAATGTCATTTGATAATTATGTTAGATATCAGTTACTAATGAAACGACGGCTTTGCATATTTCTTTTTTAGTGAGAAAATATCGTTTGACATCTTTGAGAAACCTTGGTAGAAATATTTTTCAACGAAATGGAAATTGTTCAGAGGTATCGTGATTAATCAATGATTAATATCTACGTTAAACATCAATTAAAGGGGAGACAAAATTACCGTGGAATTTCTTTCGAATTTCGGGCGTTGTTTATTTAAAAAAAAATTCTATTCTCCAGAATTTCTGTTCGACAGACGAGAGAGATATTCCGACAACTGTCTATCTTGTAATATTTTGAATTTCAAACTGATGGTCGAAGAGAGCTGTTGACACTGAAATTTCAGTGGAACGCTTTTCGACAAGAAACGCGGCGACGTGGAAACCTTCGGAATTCGCGAGAAACCGTCGGCTGTACTTTCCGGCACGAGGCGTCAGGGCACGTTTAGCTCAAAGAGAAGAAAGCGGAGCTGCTTTTTATCTGGAACGGTAGGACCGACACGCGAGCAACGTACGAAAAGTCCTCGAGACGTTCCACTTTTTTCGACTACGCGTTCCTCCTTACGGTGCAGTAACGAATGACTGAAGAGCACTCTACGGCATGTCGAGTTTAACGACGTAAAAAGTCAGCGGGGCTTCGCTGCGCTTTTTAAAGGAGCAAGGACACAACCTGGCCACATCACCTGAAGCAGTGGCTGCAAGAAACGAAAATGGGTAGCTCGCGTCTCTGTTTTCTATCTCGGAGACAGCCTTCTGTCTGAGCGTGCCCTGGATCGCCCAAGGAAACGAGCAGTCTTTAATATTCTTCTGCCGAATAAAGATTGTAAAAACGCGAAGCTCTATACACGAGACCGTGTAACTCGCTGCTGTTCTCGGCTTGACGACAATTTCCTCGTTGAAACAGATCTCTCAACTTTGCAATTTAATTTAGTTTAAAATTAAGTCAAAGTTAAATTAAAGGACGAAAGATGAAATTAAATGGAAGAGTCGGAATTACAAAAATGTAGAAATTCTTCGTGGCTAGTTGTAACTCGTGTCTGTTGGCCGTAACAATTCTCTTATTTGTTATGAATCCTCGATTTTCTGATTTAATTTGAAATCGGATCGAAACGAAAATTGAATCCGGGGACGGATATGAATTTTGATATCTGTCAACTGTGTGTGTGAAGTCCAGAAGTTTGCGATCGAGGAACTCCTGTATTAGGTTAATAGAAAGTGGAAATTGAGACGCGAGTGTGACGCATTCGATAGTTGGCGAAATGGCGGGTGAAAGTTTCAAGTTCGAAAGCTCGAAAGCTTGTTTCAGTATTCAGAGTTAACGGTGTTTAAAGCAACGTACAGAATCAGGTTCAACTATGGTAATCTAAATGGACCGTGAGTGGTAAATCCTACGTGCGCAGTATTTGCATGTAGTTGGTTCGACTACAACGGGACACGTCCGTATTATCGATTAACGGTATCGCGTGTCTGCGTTGCATTCTATATAAGTCTGATTAATCATTTCCCTTTTTTCCCCTAGCCATGTATAAAATACATTTTCACACGTTTCAGTGAAAAATTTAAACGAATATTCGTTTCTACTTTACGTCGATTAAGTTTCCTTTTAGCACTAGAACCAGCAGAATGATCGAAATTGTCAATTAATAATTCGTAGAATTTTTATACGTTTAACGACAGATCGGCAATTCTACGTAGGATTTCTTTCATATCGATCGATTGATAATTTTCGTAAAGTTTCGTATTTAACGATCAGTTGATAATTTCTCTATGGAATTAGTTGAATCAAGATTCGAATTTGATTTTTCAAACAAATATATACCGTGAGAATTAAAAGCATAGTTGTGTTACAAACTGCAAATTTTCGTCTAATAGAGATACGAATTTGGAATATTCGCTGGTAGTTTTAGAGTTGATAACATTGGTAAAGAATTTTGTCGAGCGAAGGGTAGAATTTCCTCTGTGGTGTCACTTACACTTTGGCCACGTCCGCTTTACAGATGGTCTTGTCCGGCACAGTGGTCCAATTGTAACTGGCCGAGACTAGAGCGTACGCGTTCATAAGTCCGTAGCCGAAACGTGAGTTGAACCAAAATCCAGCGGAATTTCTGAACCAGCCAGGATTCTCCCTGAAAGTTGATACAATTACCGAGGTTCGCCGGTGCGAAGGAAAGAATGACCAACGTAAAATGAAACGGTTCCCCGCGTGTAATCCCTTTTTACAAGCGGCGAGAAGCCTCCATTTGCTAGACAAGTTTATTTAACTTGCATCTTGGAAAGTTTTCGTTTAATTCGTTCCTAGATTAATTGCCGAATACTCTTCTTTCGAAGCCCTTCTTAACGTTCTTGATATATAAAGATACTTTGACTATTTAAAAAGATACTGTATATGTGTATTTCAGTTTATAAGTGTTGGAACATTTATAAAGAACAAGTTTGATATCTAGCGAAGAATCCGAAAAATGATCAACTTTTCAAAAATTTTTGAAATCATCTTGTGTTATGTGTCTATAACACTCAATAAAAATTGTTTACATTCTGTTATTAATTTAACCAGCTACTACAAATGTCGATCGTTATTTTAACTGATAATTAATGAATTGCAGTTCAATCTTTTCTATTTCCTGTTTTATTCCATTTGACCTTCAAAATTTTGAAATTTCCCAATTAATCAAATTGATTACGGATATCGTCATCTACTTTTCTATAGCTGTTGTTAATTTTTATTTCAAGCAGCTTTCTAATTCGTTATCTTTCGTAACAAATATCGCGACACTTGTCGCGATAGAAATGTACGAAACATCCATAGTTGGAGACTGAAGAAAGTTTCTCTTCAAACTACAATTTCCTTAATCGTTACGAATTTGTCCAAGAATCCGCGATGATAATGCATCGGGGATCGATAGCCGATTACTTTTGCAAACATCGATTTTAACCGCGGACGGTTTCATTTGAGCGATATCGGCGCAGGACAAAGCATTGCTCGCCGCGTCTCGTCGAAAGCCCGATACAATCGTACAATCAGGTCACTGAATTCGAGCTATCGCGCGACTCTCCACGCCATGAATGAAGTTGGAAATTCTTAATAAATCCAGTCCCTCTCCTTCTGTCTCCTCGTCCTCTTTTCATCCGCCACCCGTTCTTGTTTTCTTCTCTTCCGTGAAAATTTAATATATCTCGCTCCGCGCATCCCAACAAAAGTTACGAGATCACTCGCGAATTAATTTCCCCTACTTTACTTTTTCGCGCGTTCTCTTCGTTCTTTGATCGAATCGCATTTTGTTTCACGCAGAGACAAACAGAGAGTGCTTCAAACAATGTCAGTGAAATTCAGACGGAGTCGGAGCAGTTATCGCGAGATTAATTACAAATGTAATTACACCGTTGTAATTTCAATTAAAAAGCTCGTCGTAACACGCGTATGAAATGGGAAAGGGAAACGACTGGCGCAGGCTCGTCTTGATCCTGACTGATTGGCCAGGTGCAGCGAAACAGCGGGGCTACCTACCGCGGCCTGTATTTATCTTCAACACAGAGAAAGAAACGATCTTCGCTTCCTGTTCGTTTCACTGCAATTATCGTTGCCCGAATCGAAACAGCACCGTCGACCTACATTCCCTGGCCGTCGCGGAACGAATAAGAATGACACAATGCTTTAATCCGGCGACGGCTCTCGCGATACCTCCCCCGAAGGAGAAAAAAAAAACGAGATCGACTACTTCGGCTTCCTATATTCCTAGCGGGGAAAAGCTTTTTCCATTCGGGGCTCGGCAATTCGGCGAGATATATATTCCCTCTCGGATAATCTCCGTGCAACGATACGTCCGAGCCGTCGACTTGTTTGCGAAATTAAACGTGGATTTTCACGCGCGTATATAAATCTCGCGAGATTAATTAAATTAATGAAAATTGATGACGACGATTATTATACAAGGTATTTCGGCAAAGCGAACCGGCGGTGAAATTCGCATTTCGATGGTTTTAATTGGCTCGGAGGCTGCGGGTGCGTGACCGAATTTATTTCGATCTCGTGGCTGTAAAACGACAAGGAATTCGGGAGTGAAATCAAGTTGGTCGATTTGAATTCGTTGTCACTTCACTGCGTTTTCGATGGATCGAAGAAAATTCCTACGTGCGTTATGTGTAAGTATGTGCAGCAGCTGATTTCGTAATCTAAATTTTTACGCATTGTCACAGTGTCTGCCGCGTGATAACATCTCTGCTCGAAAGAGGATACAGAGATAAAAATATGAGCTGTTTTCGAACGAAGTTTTGTTAGTCAAATATTATATCAATGTTAGAGATCGGACGTCACCGTGCACGAATGGTGGAAGACTCGATAAATCATTTTATCGCCGAAAAGAGATTAATTTATATTCATAATTAAATTATGTCAATTTATGTTCGCCCGAGATTTAAAAATTGAATTTTGCGGCCAGGAAACTCATTGTACATATTTATTCAAATATTATCGCGTCGTATTATATTACGAGAAGCGATATTTAATCACGAAGCGGATGGAAAAAAAAAACAGATATTTAACCTCGTAATTAAGTAAATGGACAATTCTGGTAATGTTGGATCGATTGGCGACATTTAGAACTTTAGGATTACTGCTCTGTGAAGAATAGAAAGTTGAAATATGTATGTTACAACGTAATCGTCGAACGTACCTGAGTGGACTGTATTCCGAGGTCCAAACGATGAGATGCTGCACGTCCCTCCAGGTCAGATCTTTGCTTCAAGAACAATACGTGAATGATGAAAGTACGTAGTCTCGCGACGCACGTAGATGAAATATTTTGTAATCTAGTTGGAACGCAAAGTTAAAGCAAACGCGAGGACAAGGTGATTGCTCAAAGCGTTTTTCTTCGCGGCTTGTTGCCGTAAATTTTGCATCTTCTTAGACGGAACGAACACGTGGCTCGTTTGAAATTTTCATCGCAGTCGGGGGAGGGCAACGATAAGTTTTTAATCAAGTCGCGTATTATGCTAATGCCCCGCGGACAGATTTATGTTCCGAGCGTTCTCTGTGCGTGCGGGCAACCACAGATTTCCGGTAACAATATTTTCATAAATGAAAAAGAGATTACGCGGGGATTCGTGGTGAATAAATATCCGACTCAGAAAGGAACTTTAGCTTGTTTTCCCGCGTACACGTTTTGTTTTCAACTTTGCGGAAACAGCGGTATATATCTGCAATAAACTTGCACGTTGTACTAATTAATTAAGCTCACGTAGGTCAATTTTCCCGTTATTCCCGGATCGAAAGAAAGAAGAAAGAGTTGAAAGAGAGATGTTAAGAAAGGAATAAAGAGAGAAATGAATAATGGGGAGAAAGAGAGATAAAAGCGAGCAAAGGAGAGAGGATAGAATAGGAGGAAATGAGGAGGAGAGGAACGAAAGAAGGAAAGGTTACTTTTCCCTCTACTAGCTTTATAATTTAAACGAGAAAATTAGCAGATGGTGGAGGAATGAAGTGGCCGACAGAGTGTCGATAAATCGCGGAATGTGAGAATAAAGGAAAGGAAGAAAGTATTTCTCTTCTGCTAACTATGATACTAGCTTGATACGAGAAACTTCTGCGCCCTACTTCACTGCTTCATCCTCTGATAAAATTGTTAGTAACGCGACTTGCTCGGTGTTAATGTATGCATGCACTTGGTGCAAATGTTCAGTTCCACGGATCCATCTGAGAAGCTGCTGCTACTTGAATCTCAATGGAAAACTCAAGCATAGTCAGGCGGTAATGCGTTTAACGATTCTCCCTGCAAATTTGATAGCCCGTGCCCGGTTTAAATGGGACAGATGTTCCATCGGCTGCGAGAAAAAGTAACGGTAACGAGCTCGTACTTTACTTGCAAAGCTAAGGCCAGGATTCCCGCGGCTAATGGAGCGGACGCGGAAGTGCCCGTGTGGCCCGTGGTGCAGGTGTTCCTTAAGTCCGTCGTAGCCTGATGGCAGAGAAACAGAGAGTTAAATTATTCCGTTAGCTGCGTTCCCGTTCGCTTTGCTGCAATTTAAAATTTTTAACGATTCGAGTAATCCGCTGCTATTAGATTTTCGGTGATTCGAGTCTCTACGGGAGAAGTTAAAATCTTCGAATCGTCGAACGACTTGAAGATCCTTGCTTCGCGTATTTGACCGCAATTTTTAGACTATTTTTTGAACTATCGAGAGAAGAATGAAGATGTTGGAACGTTGGTTGTCTTTTTTTTTGATAAATGAACTTTAACAAGTCATTTATCTTTTGTAACGAAACGAACAGATTAACAGGATCCCGTCCTGACCGAGTTTCGACTGTATAATATTACAGAAAACATGAGACACATCGCTTACTATCATTTGATCGTGATAAGCACCGCTGCTATACGTAGTGGCTAACGTGGCCGGACAGCTTTCACTGTACCATGGAAATCTTCCAGTTTGACTAGCGGAGCCCACAGCGATCGTGTAAATGCTTCCTACGTATCCGTCGCATCCACAGTCGTCCGATTTCAAGCCTCCATTCCCAGAAGCCCACACGTAAATGCTGCCTCTGCCGTTCCTGCCCTGGACAATCGGTGCGAGATCGATAATATTAAGAAGCCGCGTTATAAAAGCGCGTGTTACGCGCTCTAAACCCTGTTCGTCAACCATACTTTTACGTCGTATCGAATGGAACAATGCAAATCACGAGGGATTCGTTTGACAAATATGCATCGGCCATGATATAAATATGCATCGTTGGTTCCTCGACCTTCTCGCGCGATTTATTCTCCATGAATATTTAATTCTTCGTAGCCACGTCGTATATTTTCATGAAACTGTTACGTGTTCGTTTTCTCGTATGAAATTAATTCGTCCTGCAAGGGACGACCAGATGGAAAATCGAAATTTATACGAAAGTTTATACAATTTTCATTACTTCGACTAATTTTTTTCACGATACAAAGATACAAAAAAATATACAAAATGTTCAAAGTAGAATGTTTCACAGATAAGACAGTAATTTTCTTTTTTTTAACCTAGCGGAGGTTGAGGTGTACGAATTTACATAAATATCCGCAGACTTAATCGTCAGACGATAGAACAATTAATGAATAAATTAATGTTCCAAGTAATCTCGAGCTCTCGCTGCTGTTTACCAACGAAAACAGTCAATTTCAAGTCTCTGTACTTGCCATCGCGATTCCACGTTCCAGCGCCTCGGTGGCCAATCTTCCAGGTGCCTCTAAACTTTTCCCATCGTCGGCCGGGCCCCACGAGGCCGTATAAATGTCTACCAATTCTGGTTTGTATCCGAGTGCTTCTCCCTCGACGCGATCGTTCACCAAACCATCGAGCAGCTTAATCCCGCCGACGGAAGCCTCGAAAGCGATGCCCACGCCGCACTTCCGGTTATTCGCCTCCATTGCTATTTCCCCCGCGCATCTCGTCCCGTGGCCGTTTGCTCCTGACGACGCGTTGAATAGTAAAGTAACAGGAAACGTTGATTAAATAGATGTCTCTTCAAATGTTCAGAATTTTCACGTTCTTTTTTCAATATTTCTCTGCATCGTTGGACAATTTCTTAAGTTTCAGCAGAGTACGAAAGAATTTCTTTAAATTCTCTTCATCTTTTTTAGAATTGCGAAATTCACAGAATCTTATCATTGTTTGTGTCGCGAGCAGTTAAAATATCTCTTTAACGTTTTAGTACGAAATTTGGTAATGAAAAACAATCGTCCTCTGTAAGTTACTTAAATTACTATAAGTATAACTCCCTCGAAAATTTTTGAACTCCAGAATTAATAGTTTTTAGAGATCTGGAAGGATAAAACTAGTTGATGGTTGAAAAAAAAAAAAAAAATACATTGGCCAGAGCTATATCGACAAAATTGATATCAATATTCTGATGTTGGACAGAATGGCAGGAGGGGAAGGGAGGGGTAAGTTTCGAAACAACGTAAATCAAATTTGTCAAGTTTTAAATTAATTTTGAGTGTCTTTGGAGTTATAGCGTATCCTGTATAGATTGCTCGTCAACAGTTTACTGCAGTTCGCCTGTCAGTTTCTCTATTGCGAGACACGATAACTTGCGAGAGTTCTTGATGCGGAATAAATCTGATACGTGAATAAACTATCTTGATCGCGGAAATTCTACGATGTGACAGTATAAAACTCGAGCATACAGTTCGTAGAATAAATAGTTAGAAGAGTAGTAGCTCGATTTTTTCTCTGAATTTATATGTCGTGATTTCATAATTGATACCTGATAATTCATATCGTGGCAGAGGATCGTCGTCATTTTCGTTCACGTCGTAACTAATGTCAGGATCCTAGTTCAACAAATTCATAATGAGATTAATTAATAAATCGTTAGATAGCAGAGTTTGGTAGATGAAGTAGAATAGTTTTAACCCTTGAAGACTATCATAGATGAAATTTATTTCGGTATTAAATTTTATCTCACGTTTGATTTATTGCCTTGACATTGCGATATTTTAATGTAACATTATCTGAATTTATTAATTTTTTTATTACACTGGAGTGAAATTTCACTTCTTACGAAGTTTATTTTAATATTCCCGACCCAGAATAATATTATTGCAGTGCTATTTATATCCACCGCAATCAATAATTTTTCTACTTTGGACAGCAATAAAATATTCAACGCTTCTGATGTTATCGACTTCCAAGCTAGGGAAATGTACTGCGGTGAGATTTCACGCAGGATGAAATTAACTTATGTTTCTTTTGACGATAGCTTTTAAGGGTTAAAGAATTCGAGGGTGTAATTCTAAAAGACCACTCCCGTCATCTGTGAAATAAAAAGCGTAACTGATATCAAAGTTGCTTCGATATATTCTTGATAATATTATTGAATGAGCTAAAAACCTTTGATAGACGGACAGAAAAAGAAACAAAAAATAGAAAATTGCTAAGAAATATTAGTGTGGCAATTTTAAGTGATCAAAGTACCCACTTACGTAATTATTTCGCAAATCGTCGTGGGTATATTCCAACCCATCGTCCAGAACAGCGACTCTCACGCCTCGACCAGTTACCCCCAGTCGATAGAGGGATAGTACATTCAGATCCAGCTTGGGTAATGCTTTGTTCGACCTCGTGTCTTGCTGCAACAGTTGATAAGAAAACCTTATCTTATCGTCAGACAACAAAGTCATCCGCCAAACGTTTTACCAACAATTCCTCTTATTGATCTCGGTTCATATTGATTTCTTTCTATTCTACATTTTACTATCTTTTATATATATATATATATAGTATTTTTTCTTCGTTTCCAAGTGTTAGGCAATTTTAAAGGGAGATTTGAATACGTTTTTTCGTTACCAGATACCATTCTTGATCCCAAAGTTCGTCATTGAACATCAATCTGGAGTCTAGAGGATCTTCTCGCCAAAGTTCCTGCCAGTATTCGTCGTTGTTTTGTATACCATTCAAGTAATACTGATCCATCCCTAGCCTCTTTTCCCTTATCAGTGGTTTCTCCGAGTCGAGGCTAGATAGTGGCAAGTAGCCGCGTTTCTGTCTCTCGATTTTCTTCTGCTGGTCCGCCCAAATGATCTCCAGAACAAAAGAATCGTGTCAGTGGAGGTTAATATTGTAGTTTAAGAATTTAACTCCCTTCAACATTTTGAAGATTTTGCTTTCTCTTCTTACTGCTTCACTACCACAAAAATACCGAATGATTACTTTACAATAATTATTAGTAGTTGCTGTTAATGTTTTTCTCTTGCAAGGATCGATACTATAGAACATCATTTTTTCAGTGACGAATTAATTCCTCCAATTAAAGGATTAATTTCTAAAATTTTGTTCGATAGAGAATTAGAAATCATTTCAATCATGTTACCTTGTTGCTCGAATTTAGTGCTTTCGTTAACCAAACTCCACCCCTTTTCTTCTGACCACCGTTGTCATCTTTGAGCCAGATATACGTGTCCTTGAATCCCAAGACCTGAATCAAGAAACCACGATGCAGGGTGGAATCGGGAAAGATTGCAATTTTCGGCAGAAAAATTCAAATTAACGCGAGATCGGCACGACAGCGGCTTCATAAAAATTTAAATTAACCTGATGGCGACGCGCAGGCCTGCGTATTGCTTTCATCTATCTCTGGTATATATTTTTCTTTTTTTTTTTCTATTTTGATTTTTTACGCTCCCAATTCGATAATCGTGTAACGCGACACAGTACCACCATCGCTGCAGCATTTTCCCAGCCAGAAATTTAATAAAACACCTCAAACGAGATTGCATTTAAATTTTCGAGCGACAAAAATGGACCCGCGGATGTTTGCAAATTAATGTTGAACAAAAAATAAAGCTGAAATTTAACACTCGAAATATTCATCCGAAGAGAATTATTGTGTAACTCTGTTGACTTTCTGACTTCGATGTTGTTTGATGATCCAAAGGATATATGTTTCAATATAACACGGTCGAGGAAGGTTTTTACTTTTCAACGATAATTCAAAAATACAAAATTTGCGCAAATGTGTATCTTTTAACGGACTCTATTTTAATATATTTCTGCATATTTTCAATATTGTCAAGCTTAAATTTAACAAATAGAGAATTTTCGATCGACGAGATGTGAAAATTCCTCTCATATAAAACAACGAACAAAAATATAATTTACCATGTGTAAAGTCTGTTGTATAGAATCGTAACATCTTTAAACTCGAGTATCTGTTGGTCGTTATTAGTCACCACCCTTCCCATGGAGCAGCCGGGGTGCGCCGCGACGTCGCAACGTTTCAACCCTTGGAACGATCGAACGGGACGCTTCGAACAGGGTAGCATGAACAGAGGGTTGGTGTCTCAATTTTAACGAGGGACAGAAAGACAGGCAGAGTGAAACTGACGAAATGGCTTTCAGCGTTCGAACGTCGAACGTCGAAAGAATGGGGTATAACGTTGTTATTATCCAGGCGTCACGTGTTGGCGGTATTTTTCTATGGTGTGTCTGGCGTACGGTGTCAACAGCTCCTCTCGATACGAGACGAGGGACCTGGACGAAATTTCCGTAACGAGCCGAGTCTGCATTTTATTTTCGATCCACCTCCTGACAGTCGGATTTTCCCACTGGCTGATGGTTTATCGATTCACGGGTCAGGCCTGATTGATGATTGTGGTGGTGACTGCGTGTGCTGGTGCACTAGGGTGCGACGCATGGGAATACGTGCACGGGGTGACGAGGAGTTTGCAGGTGCAAAGTGGTTTATGGCTTATCGTAACAGGTTGAGAGAAGAATTGAGAAATTGGTGGGATTTCCCGGCTTGGAATGTTCACCCGTCTCGCCTGTTGGTTGATTAATCTGATTTTTCAGTTATTCTTCGATCAGATATACGTATAAAATACGTAGGATTTCGATCCAACTGTGATGTTTGAATTTGATTAATGTTCGTGGATTAGCGGTGATTTAATAATTATATGTAAATGTGGATTGTTTGTTGAAACGATTATGTATTATATTTCGTTATTCGCTGTTTAACTAGGTACAGTCTGACTCGCAGTTCAGAGATTAACCCTTAATTCTATGCATTTGTATTCTTTCCATTATCAGAGCAGTCTTCCAGATATTACTTGGTAATTCTCTTCATTACCGTTGTGAAATTCAATTTAATTCGGCTATTTTTGGGTTAATTGGGTTTTTTCTTTCTTTTCTTTTTCTACAATTCTCTTTACAATTCAAGATACTCGAATGCCGGAGCTTTTAAAATGCTTCGTAAGGCTGTCGTAATGAAATAAAAACTCTTCTCAAAGACGTAGCTGTCTGTAGAAATTGCGCAGACGAGGTAACGGAATAACAAAGTAGTTTTACCAAGTCCGACATTTACGAACGCCAGATTTAACCATTGTATATCCTAGCGAATAAATTGCAGTTCAATTTATTCCAAATTTCGCAATTAAAGAGTAAAAATATCGGCTACTTTTATCCAGCTGTGTGCGTGAAACGGAGCGCGGAATATAATACGAACCGAGTGTGTATTTTACTTTCATCTCTTTCTCTTCTTTTTTTTTTTTTTTCTTTTAATGCAAACCATACATATATAACTACGTGTCCATGTTTTTAACGTGACGAATATGTCAATTACAAATATTACAGCAGTTGGTGGATTACGAGCGTTGTATAAATCGAGCGTATCTACACGCGGGCCAGATGTGTATCTCCTCTCTTTCGCCCCGACGTAACGTCATATCTCGTTACATCGCGATAGATCATTTCCATATTTGCACCGTTTCAATGGACGTTTGCGATTAAAAACCTCGTTCGTCATCGATGTTTCCCGGGGAAAAAGCGCGGGGAAATGAACTGTCAGGAGTCGAAATATTTTCCTGCATTATCAAATAACTGTATTTTCCAGAGTAAAAGCCGCGCAAGATTTGAAACGTGGGAAAGAATGGCGCGGAGATTCGTTGTCCCGCAGATTCGTCGACAGATTTCCAACCGGTAATTAACAGCCGAAGATATTTGCGAATATACGTGTATACGCCGCTCTCGTCAAAACTTTCGGACACACAACACGTACGTTCCATATGAAAACTTGAATCAAATTTCACTCGTGAATTTTTATTTCTTTTTTTTTAAACTTTAAAAATTGCTTGTATATCGTAGCAAAGACTTCATCGAGCAATCTAAATTTCTTTTTCTTACACGTATCGAAACATTGTTTGGAACAAGGAAAGGAACATTTTATGTTTATTAACTACTTGATACTCGGGGAATTTGAAATTCAAAATTCATTCCTTCGTATCGAAAATTGTACGAATTTATTTTCAAAGCGGTGCAATTTTCCTTTTTCTTTGGCAAGGGCAGCGTACATTATCTAATATTCGCGCAAAATACCAGATAGTATATTTAACAGGGAAAAGAGACAGAGAGAGAATAATAACGAACGGCCACGATTGCTATGTTTCGCGCGATATTACCGCGGGTATCGCTTGGTCACGCGATAGGCTCAAGAGTGACCCCAATTTTCATCGAATCACATTGTCGCGCGGAAAAACAAAGGCCGGAAAAATCCACGAAGCCCGTTATGAAACAATAATCCCGCATCTGGCTTGGCTTGGGTCGCGGAAAAAAAAATTCCTATAATCCAGTATCCATTATATTTGCAATGTATTCAGCCAGAGGGAATGAATTCGATCGGTCGTTGGCCGTCGAACTCGAACGATAAACGACCGAATATCCTCGACGAGGATCCCCGCGCTTGTTTTTTTCGTGTTCTCCTTTTTTTCCCCCCTCGTCCCTTTCTGTCTGTTTTATTTTATGATATCCTTTTTTTTCGTATTTTTTTCGGGGAAGGGGGGGGGGAGGGGAGGTGGTGAAGGAGAGGGGATGAGAGGACAATTCAGTTCGAACGTGCGAGGATAAAAACGGTCGTACGTGCGAACGATCGCACGTGATGGCGTAAGCAGCTACCGATTTTTACACCACTGGCTCCGGTGCATCGATGTTATCGCGATTCCTGGCGCCAGCAGGAAGTCGAAGCGCGGCAATTTACATCCGCGACACCCCTGCCCCCCCCCCCCTATCCCCGGTCACACGCAAATAATTTCGCTCGGGCATTTAAGAAGATTTATGGAGCCGATTTTGTTCATTCGACGCCCTCGTTCGCTGCAAGTCGCCACGTATCATAGATTTCACGTTCACCGGCTGATCACGTTTCATCCACAATTCGCTTTATCTCCCAATCTCCTCCTGAAGAATGGGCCGCGTTTCTAATCGTGACTTTTCCAGGTTAATCCGCGATTCTTCACCCCGTGAGAGAGCGACGCTCTCCCCGTCACGCGGTTTGAATCAGAAACGCAAGGGCAGGACGATCTTTTATTTTTTCCAATTTATCATTTAATAGAGAGGGGGAATTGGATGGTTGAAAAAACTGGAAGAAGCCAGAGTTGCTATCGTTACACAGTGAATGATGCTTAACGCGCGCAGCTCTGTCCACTTGTCGGCTTTTCAATGCATTATGTCACAATTCTTCGTTCTTACCATCCGTTTTCCTCCTCCGAGCGACAGTTCAAGAATCTCTAACCCTGATTTCCGCAATTCCAAAGTCTGTGGACTCTCGACTCTCCATCAAGGTCAACCCTCCGTTTGACGAGGGAACAGTCCCGAAATGGGACACGTTCGACGCGGCTCGCCTGACGTTTGAAGCTTCCACGTGGGGACGCTTCAAACTCGAATTCGTCTGTTACGTGATAATGGCCCGGTTCCCTTCGTCCCGGTGGCGATCCACGCTGTTCGAAACTACTCTCTCGCCTCCCCTGTTTGTCAATCCAGCACCTGAAAACTACCTCGTCTTACGTGAGTCTTCTTCTCATCGGAACGAGGCCTGGGAGATTGCAAGAAATCGGAGTCGCTCATTACCCGACGATCAGCGAAATTCCTCTTATCGATCGGCGAAAATTACGCCCGGTTGTCTCCCCCTGCCCCTTCTGTGGGGAAAATCCGCGAGTCGCTGGCTATCGAGGTCGGTCTGTAACAGCGCCGCTGCTGGAGCAAACGACTGGATTCTAAATGCGACGGGCGACGAGGGGGAGGAAGAGAGGGCGGGGTAATAACAGGAGAGAAAGGCAGTATTTTCGCAGTCCATTTGTTTTGATCGGATTTCCAACTGTCTCTCTGGTAATCCCGCGGCAGTAAGCTCCCGCAGGCATCGTCAGATTCCAATGAAAACCCTAACGTTTCTATCCTCCTGTGGAACAGGGAAACACCTTTCGCGTACACCATCCGCGCGGCGGGATACGTGTACCCTCGTGCACGTGTCCTTTCGCTCGTGCAATCCCTGTTTTCCAACTGATTTCGTTGCTGTTTTTGTAACCTCGGACCGCGCCGGCTCGTGTTTTTACCCGCTTTCGGCGGAATTTTACGAATCTCTCCTAGTTGTCGAACTAGGGTGATTAATTCTACATGAATTTAAAAAATAAAAGAATAATATTGCCAACTGTT